GAAGGAAATCCGCTAAGATTAAGAGTCAACAACAAGCATGGAGCAATACACAAACTAGCGAAATTCATTTCCTTGAAGCTCAAGAAAGTAAAGGATTCCCGAATACCGTTAAGAATTCATATGAATTTTCTCGAATGATCCAGAACATTGGGTTGGTGGGGTCGGAACTGTTGGTCGATTTCGATGTAGACAAACATTTCAGGCAAGAAGGCGGTAAGCGCCTTGCTGGAGATATTGGAGCGAGAAGAGGACATCCTGGGGGCAGAACGGATACGGAAAGAATCGTTAATACGACTGATCAACCTGACAGTAAGGACTACATATTTTACATTTAACGGCATTATCTACCTTCAAATATTTGTACTAGTGACGGGATCTCCACTCGCACCTGTTTTGGCAAATATGTACATATACAAGTTGGAAAGGGAATTCGAGAAGTCACCACTGCAACCAAGAGCGCTCATGCGATATTTGGATGACTACTTTGCACTAAATGAATTCCTCAATTTCATTAACCAACTTGATGAAAGAATTAAGTTCACAATGGAGTTGGAGCAGGATGAACGAATACCTTTTCTGGATATGGATGTCATGCGTTCCAACGGGACACTCATAAGGAGACTATACAGAAAGAATTCATAAGCGGAAACAATCCTTAATTTTCAGACTGAAGATAGGAATACTGAGGAGTTTGCTCACCAAAAGCTTACGACTAACGGACCCTGAGTTCTGGGACGAGGAGTTGAAATAACTGACATGTATTTGCCTTAATAACGGATGCACCAAAGGATTTATAGAAAAAAATGTAGACAAGTTGTTTAAACTTGTTTTCGCAACTTGTTCATATTGGTAGGAAGACTTAGAGGAATGCACCTAGTCTGGAATCCATTGTCTTCATGATCATTTCCAAAGTCGAACCGTGGTTGTGGTACATTCCCAAACGTTTCGCCGGCATCGTCAGTGAGTATCGCCATTCTTAGCCACATACAAAAATTCATAAAAGCGACATGTAAGCCTATCACGTCTATGATCAAACACGCCTATTGTTAGCCAAATAGCTTTAGTCTCTACCGCGTATTTCCTGTTTCTATCTGTAATACCATGTCTATCACTCCCTACGCCCTAGTCTCTTTTGTGCCAACCCACAATTGTCGTGATTCTACTTGTTTTGATTAGGCTCACTAAAGACGTTTCCTCTTTGCTTCTGATTGCTCCTTTATCATTCCCCTGCGATCTCTTTTCCTAAAATTAATGATAATACCTTGATCCAATCGTTTTCTTTTTGCTGATCTTCCTGTTGCCTGGTCTTCTCCGAGTTTGTTTAGGCAATATGCACAGTTTTCGCTGATCTTGCCTTCTTCAAGTCTCCTGTTCATTAGATTTCTCTCGGATTATTCCCACATATGAATTCCTTCTGTATAGTCTCCTAATGAGTGTACCTTTAGAACGCATGACTTCAATATCCATAAAGGGTAGTCGTTCATCCTCCTCCACCTCCGTTGTGAATTTAATTCTTTCATCAAGTTCGTTAATAAAATTGAGGAATTCATTTAGATTTTCCTTACCATGTGACCAAAGTGCAAAGTAGTCATCCCCGTATCGCATAAGCACTTTTGGTTGCCGTGGTGACTACTCGAATTTCCTTTGTACCTTATCCATGTACAAATTTGCCAAAAGAAGTGAGAGTGGAGAATCACGACTATTGCTAGCTAATTAGCTCTAGCTTCCACTG